TACTGTATGAAGAGCCCCTTTGCTTCCCCTTTTCTTGCAGTGGTCCGGTGAGCCATATTTTTGCACCTGCTGTTTTCTGACTGCTTAGCAGAGAAGTGTGGTGCTTGTAAGCCGTGGGTCCTAACTTGTAATTTGGCTTGCTTTTAATAGTTTGGCTGCAATAGTAATGGTGTTATTATTGTGTGGTTTGTAAGAAAGGGTCTTTGTGGTACTGATGTTGTCTTAATTTGTATAGTTTTACAGTTAATTAAGCTCTTATTCATACGAGTGTCCTGGGAGCCAGTTTATTCAAGTTCATTAGGTTTATTGCTACTTATAACACCTTTGTCGCTGTTTTCTTTTCATTGTAGTATGTTTCCTATGTTCACGACGTGACATTGAGCTTAGTGCAGGCAGGAAACACTCAATGAATGAAGGAAATTCTCACGTGTAGAAAGAATCACACATCAACCACTACTCACAGTCACAGCCAGGAAGGAAGCGTGCTTTTTCTGTGATCATTTCTAAGAGCCGTGTGAGGTGAAGATCCTAACGGGGTATAATATCCAAAGTGAGCAGGGCTGAAAGTTATCCAGAATGAACTTCATATATTCGTAGTACTTTCTTTTTTGTTTATGTAGTGATGTTTATGTGTATATCTGAGTGTTTGTATGTCTGTGTTGTCGAGTGATGAATACATACACACTGCTTAAAACCTCCTTGGAGACCCATAGAGACACGTTTGTTAGGATTCAGGCGACGGTTACACTTCTGTTGCTAGGGTAGGTCTCTGAACGTGTGTTTGTTTGTAGTGCACTCACCCGTAGCTACTCTAACGTATATTTATTTGACTTCAAAAGCTCTGACAAGCACAACAGTTAAATATGTGTTGGTCTAACAGAAAAGAAGAAGACAATGTTTGCATTTAAAACAGTACATGGCCATGTAAGTGACTTCAGATCCCCTGAGGCAGACACAGCAGCACAAACACACAGCACTAACACATCACAGACCCAGATCTCTAGAGACCCGGAGGTTAAACAAGAGCACATGACTGTTCCTTTACATCCTGCATAGGCTTTTTGTTATCACGAGGCTAAATGTAGCATAATTCAAAACAGGCGCTGTACTTTGATGTCAGATCATGAACACTTGGATGTACATCCACAGAGACACGCGTGTTGCAGTGCTGGAAGCCGGCCAGAGTTGCTTTGTCATTGAAAGCAGTTTATTGTGACAGACACACTGCCTTTTCCCCCCTCCCTCCCTCACCCTGCTACCCATTTTTCCAACTCTTCCCTTCACTTGCTCATTTGAACGTTGGGTGGGCCATTTTCACAGTCTGTTTGGAACGGGTATCTAACTCTTGTTACATCGGTAGCTTTAGTATTGCCTCAGCCTGAGAGCTCAATCTATCTGTTGCATCAGCAGTGTGTTTCTAGTAGTAGTCCTGAAAGACACGGCGAGTGAAGTGGACTAGGGAGAACGAAAATGGATCAGAGAGGGATCAGGAATATCACATTGGTAGAAAGACTTAAATCCACTTCATCGTACTGATCATGTCCGATCTTAACATTTTATTAACCTGAACAGCTCACTAGAACACTCAGTTGCCTACGACAGTCTAACTTTGTCTTAATAAACAGCTTTTGGCAATTTGCATTATCTTCCTGAAGATAACTGGTCCAAAAGATACAAAAAGCTGCACCAGTTTGAAATATTTCTAGCGCAGCACCAATGGATGTACAACAAATGAGAGGAAAATCAGTTGTAAACACAAGGTGTAACTGTGTCAGTCCCACATAGTCAAAAACAAGGGCTCTATTCGGTATAGTATGTTTAATGGATATTCAGACTGGAAATCATTTCAGATTAGAAAGCCATATTGAACAAATACACATTTCTGTACAAATATTGCTTTTCAGCTTTTTTACTAGCACATTTAATAAAACACCAAATGCAATCAACTCACACAGCAGTGTCAAATCTCCTTATCGGAATTACAGTTTGAGAGTCAGTATTAAATATCATATTGAAAATGTGATATGTATGAAACTAAATCATTTACCTATCATTCTCTATGCTTAAGTATTATAAGAAGGTATTTGAACCAACACCTCTTCATTCTTTCTTCTCTCTGACTTCACAAGGCAACTAACAACCTTCTTTAAGCAGCCAATGCAGGAGATTTGCTCCGTATTAATCCTCTGAGACCTCAGCGCAGCCTTTGACAGCTTTTATTTTCCATCTTTAATTGAATGCTTTTAGCTCTGGAAGCCTGCTTCATCATTGCTTGTATTTGAACACCTTCTTCCTCATGAATGACAGCCTGTGCTCTTGCTCAGCAGCCGTCACATGTGGGATGTCACAAGGCTCAATTCTGCTTTTTAACGATACGCTTAAAAGTCAAACACACTGTTACCATTTTATCAAGGATGTCTCAGGACATGGACCTCGAACGACCCTGGCACCCATGTCTGATGGAAATAGGGAAAATAGAGTTGGATAGAGCGCATGTAACTCAAAGGTCTTTTCTGTTTGGTCTGTGTGTTCGTATAAATCTGTTTTTTATTATATTAAGTATTGCTGCGGCTTGATCTGTCAACTTTAAGTGCTTCTCCTGCTGCAGAATAGATTAAAACAGTGGAAGTGATGGAGTTTAATGGGTGCCAGATATACAATATCTAGCCACCCTGCAGTTGTGCAAGTTCATTAAAGGAAAAATGCATACACACTCGCATAAACATACTGTACACACAGATCCCAGAAATGCACATACACTCTAAAAACAAATGCTTTGGCTCAACAAAGAAAATCAACGCAACAGTTTGCATCAATGTTTATTGAGTTATGAAAACTTCTAATGAAATTGTGTTAAACCAACAAAGTTATTTGAGTTAGGGGAGAAGGCTTTTCCTCTACAATCAGAGGTGTTTTTAATTACCACTTACTTAATAATTGTTTTTACACAAGTTTTTAAGTTGATTACTCCAAAGATCAAGTTATTCCAACTAGTTTTACCACATTATTTAAAAGGAATTTCATGTTGTATGTACTTAATTACCATCATTGTGAACACAAGTTTTTAAGTTGACAACCATTTATAAATTAAGTTGCTCCAAATATATTGTATTCAATAGTTGTTGTTTTTTAGCTTTTTCATGTTTTTGCCTTTAAAGAAAGAAATTAATTAATTCCACAACAAAAATGTTAGGCAATTCACTTTTTTATTTTGAACTGCAGTTGTTTATTTCAACACATGATATTTCAATCAGGAGAGACTTCATTTTGTTTGAACATTTATTGACACATGTCAAAACATTATTTTAATAAAAAGTTATATCACAATAGTAACCAAATTATTTTTACACTCACAGTAGCCTCTACTACTTTGTACCCTCTCACAGAACTATTCACAGTTCAAAGGCTGCTAATTTTGGTCAAACAGCCATTTGCCTATACAGTGCAACTACAAGGCTATCTACGGTATTTGAAAGACAAAAGACGACACTCACCTTAAAAATGTCCTTTGTATAGTATTTCTATTTGTCTTAACTGTCGGAACTTGTCCAGGCATGTTAAGTGGGAGTGAACTTGAAATCCTTAACTCAAGGTGTAGAACAATTAAGTTATCAAGCCAATTGCATTACTTACTACAACTTGAATTTAGTTTTAAGTCAATTAACGCAGAAATCCGAGTTTAAATTACACACAATATTAAGTTGATGTAATTACCAACATTATTATGTCAACACAACTTATAAATTAATGTTTGCAACTTTAAAGTTTATCTAAATCAATTAATTCAAATTTGTATCTTGCAACCATGCATTTAATTAAGTGGTGGTAAAAGGTCCCCTGAATGACTTTTTCGAGTGTACTGTATATCCTCCAGCTTCTACAATTTAAGAGCCTTTTGTGAGCTGAGTCTTGGCACATGATGTCTTTTTTTTGTATCTTTGTCACGCTGCAACATTTCTAATCAGTCTTCTAATGCTGAAGGCTTTAGTTCTCAATTTGATGTGGGGTTAAGTCCTCAAATAAAAAGCAGCTTTATTTGACTTCTGTTGATTATATGCTCACTCAAGATGATGAAAAGTACATTTGTATATTTAGTTGTGGAAACACTGTATCTTGGCTAGATTTTTATCAGGTTTGTTTTGTGCTCCTTAATTTAGATTTTGTCTATTTTCAAGGAAACATCTTGCAACCGTCCATACAGAGCCTTACATGACTACATACAAACAGAAACACATTATACACCATAACATGTGTACTTTGTAAACTGCCTTAGCTTCTACTTTTTCCTAAATCAATTGATCTTATTCCTGTTTATGGAGTTATGTCTATAATTGTCTGCAATTACGAAAGTTTAAAATATTAAGTTTCCACTTCTTCATGGAGGTACTAAAAATGTCAATACTGTGGACCTATGGATAGTCGTAGCTTTGCTGGCAGTCAGAATCCGTCTTAGCCAAAGGGTCAAGCTGTGCTGTGTCTGGATTAGACCCTGAGTGGGTTAATCACTCACTGAACAATGCACAAGGGTTAACATGGTCGGGATGCTGTGTTAATAATCACATGTGCTTGCATACAAGCCCAGGAACACACCTACAAATGCCCTCAGTGATCCTAGTGATGTAATCATGAACTGTGCGTGACTCCAAATGTTTACTTGTTGGCACTCGGCTACCTGTGGATCCACAGCGCTTTACACTCAGCCGCTCATGCATACATGTTTCCCTGTTTGAGGCCTCGACTGTGGCTAACACAGCTTAACTTTTGTATTATCTCTGTTGAGAGATCAGTTTCAGCAAGATTTATAGAAAGCAGATTCTTTGTTTTCACATGTCATAATATTTTCCACCGCCTCAGTAGTGGCTGCAGCAGATGCTCATGCCATGCTGGGAGGCAATCTGTTGTGCTGTGTGGCATGACTGTTTAGAACAAGCTGAATCACTGTATACTGCCAGAACTTGTTGAGTCACCTCTCTCCTCTTGTTTCTCTCTCTCTGTCTCAGGTGGTTCCAGAAAGTGGGTCGGTAAATGGCAAAGCCAAAGCGCAGATGGAAGACACCCACACGGAAGCAGAGGAGGATGAAGGGGAGGAAGGCCACATACCTCATACACAAGCTCCCACCATCACCCACAAACCGGCCTCGGACCAAGGCGGACGGCCATCGTCAGTTGTCAAAAGAGAGTCCGGGCTGGAGCTGACCAGCAATGCACTTCACCAGCATGTATGCTCTTCTGTGAATTTTCAGAATGGTTCTGCTGAGAACCTGACAAAACCTAACGGTGCTAATATGACCACTGGGTCACACTCTGATCTGAAGTCTGCTTTCAAATGGACTACTAATGCATCAGAGCCTCAAAGGACTATAATTGCTACAACTCCTAAAGACTGCCCTAAGAATGGACCCAAGACTTCTCCGGACAACATGTCAGTTCCACTAAAGAAGATCAAACTAGAGGAGCCGTGGATGTGGATCCCTGAACAGCCCACCAAACAGCTGAGCGATGAAGACGAGGTCTGCGAAGACCCGCTGTCCACGCTGGCGGCCGTGGTGTGTCTTTCTGTCACAGAGAGAAAAGGACTGGAGGAGAAACTTTTCAGCTCACGGTCCTCCATTCTTTGCTCCATCAAAACAGAGCCACCAGATTTGTACTTTGTCAAAAAAGAGCCAGAGGACTTACAGAATGACTTGTTTCAGAAAAGCACTCCTGTTTGCCTGCAAAGGAATCCGCAATACATTAAAAGTGAACCTACTCAAGGTGTCTTGCAACAGAGCGTGCAGTCTTTGGCAGAGAGAAGAAATCTTAGTTTTGATCAGGCTATTGCTATTGAGGCCTTGACTCAACTGGCAGCTATACCTCAGAGCCCCGCAGGGTCCATTAAAACTGAACGTATGTGTGAACATAGCACTTCCAACACAAATACAACCCTGCAAGACGTCAAACACGCACCAGCTATTCGCTACAAGAAAGTGTCGGTCATCAGCTCGCCACTCCACCATACATCAGTCATACGCCCTCCTGTGGCCAGACAAGGAAACGTCATCCAGTGCTCCCAGGGGTCTAACGCGAAGCTGTCTCTGCACGATCTCTTAGAAGCTAGCTCAGACAGAGATAAAGCACCCTGTAGGAAGACAGAGCCGGGCTTTGGTTCTCATGTCATCAAGTCGGAATGCAGCTATAAATATCCCAATGACATGAGAGCCAGTAAAGATCATGAGCGATTGTTCGCGGAGGACAGAGACAGGGTTGTTGGTAAAGCGAGGAGGAACAGAGAGGAGGAGGAGGAGGTGGCAGCTCAGCTGGCAGACCTGGCCTTCATCATCCAGTCTCGACACAACCAGCACTCGGAGAAAAACCCTCAGAAAGGAACACCTGTGTCAGCCATCAAATACAACTACAGCTCCCAGATATCCCCCAGTCAGAAAAAGCCCCCCGTGAAAAAAACAAGAGCAACGCCTTCCAAGCCCAGGAAGAAAAAAAGTGATGGACCTAATGAGGGAATCAACTGCCGGACCCCCCTCTCAAAACGCACGCCAAATGGAGAGACTTCCAGGGGGAGAGGCCAGAAGATTCAGGGGAAACCAGTCCTTCACCACAAGAGGAACCTGTTTCTGCCTCAGGCTCAAATCGACCTGAAGAGATACTTGGCTGAGGCTCAGGAGGAAAGGAGGCAACTCATCCATCACAGTAACACACACAGTGCAGCCCACCTCGGGCCGCAGACTCACAACTACAGCCCTCTCACAAGGGTCAACAACACCGGTCCAGAACACCACCCATGGTCACTTTCTAACGGTCCACTCCACCAACACAATCCATGCAACGGTCATGCTGGGCTGGACTATGAAAGGCATTTGTTTTCTCAGGGAGTGCATCACGGTGCTGATCCGAACACCAGCGCGGCCAATAACCCTTTCCTCAGCCACTCATCTGGAAACCATGGACTGTCTAATGGCTTCTCGGGGGGCCGGCAGTCCCCTCCTCCGAGCCAGCAGGGCTACTACAAGCTGGAGAGGGCAGGACCTGTCACTATCCTGTCCACTAGTACTGACGGGGTTCAGAGCCAGTCTGAAGAAACAACTCCTTCCAAGAACAGCGTCAACAGCTTCCTGGAGTCTCCTATGAGTTTTTTGGATACCCCTACCAAGAACTTGCTAAATACACCTTCCAAAAAACTTGCTGATCTTCCATCCTGTGAATGCGTGGGTGAGTTGTTCTTCCTATAATCTTTGAGAAGAAAAGTGTGTAGCATTTGCATTAGTGTCACATTAGATATATTCCACTTTGGGGCTAAATGTACCCTTAATGTTGGCTTTGGAGCAATACTGCAACCTCAAACTTTTCTGTTTTTCTTTTTCTTATGCAAACACACACACACACACACACACACACACACACACACACACACACACACACACACACGCACACACACACACACACACACACACACACACACACACATACATGCTGTGTTCTAATTCATGGGCCAATTCAAGCAAAAGGAGTTCACATTTCTTTGGGGTGCTTTGTTGAGCCACGTTGAGCTGTTATGATGTATTTGGTCTTGAAATGCGAACATACAGAGTGGTGGCCCCTGAACTGAGATCCAGATGCATTTACTGTGTATTTTACCTTTACATGTAATTAATCTGACTTCTTTATCAGGAGCATTTCCCAAAAATATACCAACACCACATTGGATGGACACTTCTAAACCTGATAAAGTTGCTTTGATATCTGATACATCTTGTTTTTGATTGTTTCTGTCCACAGAACAGATCATTGAAAAGGAGGAAGGCCCTTACTATACTCACCTTGGGGCAGGGCCTACTGTTCCCGCAGTGAGGGAACTGATGGAGAACAGGTAGAGTGACTACAACTTTGTTTACACTCTGTGTATGTGGGTGTGTTTTCTAGCAAACATGCAAAGACCTTACTAGTGAACCATGGTCTTGGTGGAATGGGGCGGGACAGAGACAAAGAGTCTGCCATTAAAAGGAAGCATTGCTGAGCCAGCTCAATACGTGTACCCTCTGTCTCAGATACACACATGTTGAAACAGGAAACCCCTAGAGCTGAGACAAGAGGAAGCCCATTTAAAACATCTTGATGTCCATTTCAGTCCATCTGAAAACCAGACAAAGAAAACGTCATTCTGCACTCATTGAGACATTTAATGACATAGTTGTAATCAAACCAATTTGAGTATTTATTTTGTATGAAACACATTTTATAGAAATGTTTAATATCTCAGAGGGAACTCGTTTTTTTCTTCACTTCAATACATTTTTCCTTCACTTCAATACATATACCAGATAAATAAACTTTAAAAAAAAAACTATTGGGTAGGTATTGATACAAAGATACAAAGCACAGGGCTGTTTCTTTTTAAGGTACGTGGTTCTCACAGGACAGCGACAAAGACCTATGATGATCTTTAGAATATGATGAATTGCTGTAGATTAAACTATCCAACAATATATAAAGAAGATATAATTAGTACAGCTGTAAATATCTCACACATGAATGCAGCAGTAAAATGAATCTAAACTACTAAATATAAAATGATATACAACACATGACATGTTACTGCACAATGACTACAAGGAATACACAATCCCAATATGTTTTCTTCCACTGATGATTACTACATTGTATCCATTTTTTTGATTTGATATATTGATTGTCCATATATGTTGCCCTAATGTATGGATAACAATGTGATGTTGCCAGTGTGATATGCTCTGAGTTCAAAAGCACAACCTTATCGTTTCTCCTATGTGTGTTACAGATATGGTGCCAAAGGAAATGCAATCAGGGTGGAAGTTGTTGTTTACACTGGGAAAGAAGGAAAGAGCTCCCAGGGGTGTCCAATAGCAAAATGGGTATGTAGCTTATGTTGATTTTTGTAGTTGTAGTTCCTAAATGTCCCGAATATGTGTTCTTTATATTGAAGGGTTCTTGTAGTTTCCATCAGAGATGGAAGTTAACCCAGATTCTTACCCTTCTGGTATCTTGTTGTCTGTTCCTCATTGCTGTTGTTTATCAGCTTGTATTTTTTTTTTTGCACCATCATCTGACAGGTGGTCCGGCGTAGCAGTGAACAGGAGAAGCTGCTGTGTTTGGTCCGCCGGAGGCCGGGGCACTACTGTGAAACGGCCGTGTTGGTGATCCTCATCCTGGCGTGGGAGGGAATCGCTCGGCCGGTGGCAGACAATCTCTACCAGGAGCTCACAAAGTCCCTCTTTAAATACGGCTCCCCCACCAGCCGCCGCTGCGCCCTCAATGAGGAGTGAGTACCTCTTTCTTTGTTTTGCAATTACACAATTTCTTCCCAACTTTGGTTCGTTTCATCATCCTCCTCCTGCTACTCCATCTCCACAGTCGAACATGTGCCTGCCAGGGTTTGGACCAGGACACATGCGGAGCTTCATTTTCTTTCGGCTGCTCCTGGAGTATGTACTTCAATGGCTGTAAGTTTGCCCGGAGCAAGGTTCCGCGCAAGTTCCGCCTGCTTGGAGACGACCGGGATGAGGTGAGAGAGTGGTCTACTGCCAAAAACCCTAGTGGAAAACATCTAGTGCAATTTCTTCTGTTTGTTTGTCCTGTTGTAGTGATGTGAATTTTATTCGTAGGAAAGGCGGACATAATAATCAAATGTTTTCCAAATACTCCACTCCGAGTGGCTTATTTTGTCTATGAAAATCACACCGGTATTTTTTTAATGAGCTGTTATTCACTCCAAATGTTCTTAAATCTGTCCATTACTTTTAGGAGGAGAAGATAGAGAGCAACCTGCAGAATCTCGCCTCTGACCTTGCACCCCTCTACAAAAGACTGGCTCCGGAGGCCTTCCAAAACCAGGTATGAAACAGTAAACAGCTGACACACTATTTTAGGCTGACTATTTATATTATTTTCAAATGACCTGCTTTGAATCTTTTACCATGTTCACAACGTCTTGTCCTTTCACCTCTCATAGGTGGAGAATGAGGCGGCAGGGAATGACTGCCGTCTGGGTCGGAACGAGGGTCGTCCTTTCTCTGGGGTCACAGCCTGTGTGGATTTCTGTGCCCATGCTCACAAGGACACTCACAACATGAATAACGGCAGCACTGTGGTGAGCATGCTACGAGTGTGACTCCATGTTATCTACTGTATCATGTGATTACATCTTAAGGGATTGATTGGACATGGTCTACTGTTTGTTTGAACAACTTGCCTTTTGTGTTTGCCCTTTTTCAGGTTTGCACTTTAACCAAGGAAGATAACCGGGCAGTGCCTAACATACCAGAAGATGAGCAGCTCCATGTTCTTCCACTTTACAGAGTCTCCGCAAGGGACGAGTTTGGTCAGGTTGAGGGTCAGTGGGCCAAGATGCGGAGCGGTGCTCTGCAAGTTCTGTCTGCCTTTCCCAGAGAAGTAAGAAAGCAGCTTTTGCTATTTATTATTATTGTTATGTTGTCAGTGGTTTGAGTACTTTGTTTCAAACAAACAAAACACAATTGTATGCCTACTGTACTTTCTAAAGATCTTGCTGGCAGCAAGTAAAAAAGGCTATTACATAAAATTGACTTCAGAAAAATGTGCCAATGTTGGCCTCTCTATAATTTTTGTTAAACATCACATCTTCTATAAAAAAATTACCTCATCCTACAACTCCAATAGTTTGCTTATTAAGCAAATGAGACATAATTGTGTACTCGGTGCAATACTCTATTTAAAATGTGCCTTGATTTACTGATCCCCCCCATAACCTTGTATTTGTTTGCTTTTGTTAAAAACAAATGGTATTTGCTTTTTGCTCACTTTTCATACAATGTGAAAAATGCTAATAGATAAAACGTTTAAAAACAGTAACCTGTGTGATGTTTTAAATCGTTGATTATATATTTGTTGTGTTCTTTAGGTGCGTCTCCTGGCTGAGCCAGTGAAATCAGCCCGTAAGATCAGGCAAGAAGCTCGTCTGAAGGCCCAAGCAGGGAAGCTGGAGAAGAAGCTCGGGCTGACTCCCCAAACTCCTGGGAAAGTGAAGAACGACACCCCCAGCAAAGGTATTAAATCATGTGGTTAATGTATTTTTAATAGTTGGACATTGAGGTCAAAAGTATAAAGGTTCTTTTGATGATTCATACATCAGCTTTTTATAAATACTTGTATTCTCTACTTCCAAAACAGAGCCACAGGGCTTCTCCAGCTCGTACAGACTGCCTCCAAGGCCTGCCAGCGATGGACGGTACCCACAGGACAGGAATCAACCCGGCACTTACAACCAGAGCACCAGCAGCTATCCCACCTCGGGTGCAGGGGTCACCCCACAGAAGGAGGTCATCCCCCCCAACCACCATGGCCTGCCTGGCGGCCAGTTTGGACAGAATGGCTCAGCTGTTAATTATAAAACAGTGAGTGATGCTGTGAATGGTTATTCTTCAGCATCTGGTGACCAGAGTGTACATATGCCTCCACATAATGCCCTTAGTGGCTACCCCCATGTTTTTAAAACTGAGCCAAACGAGGTGCACTGCTCTCCTCTGCGCAGACCCTCCCCCAGTGGGAGTGCTCCTCCTCCCCCCCCCTTCTCCCCCAGACCTACCTCTGAGGGCCTCTTCAGCAGGCTCAATGGACACAACAGGGCTGCAGGAGATGTCACTGCAGAGGTCAGGGGTCATGGCTTTCCTCCACTCTCTTCTCTCCCCCTTCCCCCACAGACTCCCCCGCCTGAACCAGAGGAATTGAAGCAGGAAGAGGTGTGGTCAGACAGCGAGCACAACTTCCTGGACCGTGACATAGGCGGAGTCGCGGTGGCACCGGCACACGGCTCCATCCTGATAGAGTGTGCGCGGCGGGAGCTCCACGCCACCACCCCAATCCGCAGGCCCGACCGCAGCCATCCCACGCGCATCTCCCTGGTCTTCTACCAGCACAAGTCTCTGAATGAACCAGGGCACGGGATGGCTATGTGGGATGCAAAGATGGCCAAGCGGGAGAGGGAGCGGGAGGAGGAGGCCGAGAGATTAAGGATGGAGGAATGTCTGGGGAATACCGGAAAAGGAGGTGTGGAGCAAGAGGAGGGAACAGGGGAGGATCCAGAGGGGACAAGGAGGACAATGCATGTCCCCACACGACAAGCTTGGACTCTCCCGAGGGATGGTGTTGTCACCGTGTCCCCTTATGCTCTTACCCAAGTGACGGGTCCCTATAATCGCTGGACTTAGATGACATGTTTTACACACACACACATACACACACACACATACACACAAACACACACACACACACACACACACACACACACACACACACACACACACACACACACACACACACACACACACACACACACACACACACACACACACACACACACACACAAAGAACCTTCTACACCCTGTGCTTCTGCCTTACCTCATTCAACTTCAAACTGCTACTCTCATTTTTTAAAGTTGTTTTCATTGTGCTTTTCTAGAGTCTGTTTGTTGACTTTGCCCTTCTTGGTCTCTGCTTTCAAAGTGATGCGGAAGACCAAAGTTGGTTGGCTTTTTTAACTGTGAGTTTCTGTGTTTTTATTGTAAAGAGATGGTGCTTTGAAGCATTTTTAAGACGTTTTTAAACTGGTTTTATATACATGATTAAGAACAAAAAATATGTGATTATTTATTCTGATCATAACGATTTCTATTTAATTCCTGGTGCAAGCCTGTTTACTGCAAGATTTCTATGATAACCTGCATTGTGTTTTCAGAATTCACGTTGTACAGTAGGAATTTGCTATTTTTTTTTGCCAATAGTTCGCTTTTCATAAGATGAATCTCATTGGCTTCTAAGTTGGTGCCATTCTCACTGTAAAACCTGCTTAACACCATAACATCACATCATGTAGAAACAGGACTAATATTGTGCTTATAGTAACTACAGATTGTCACATGTAGCATCATGCTTTACCTTCTGCTGCCTCTGACTTCAGGCGGCAGTCGATGAAAGAAATGTTCTTCTTCGTTGATTTGTTTTCTTTATGTCTGGATGTTTTTCTTTTTATTCACAGATTTGTATGGCATATTAAGAAGCACTTTTTTATTTTTTTAAACTTAACTTGAAAAGGTCCCAATCTTTAGGCCTAAATATGTATGTACAGATAGAGATATATGACAGTTTAGCATGATCCTGGTTTTATCTTTACAGTATTTTTCATTTACAATTTGTTGAAAATGGCTTACATATCTAAGGAAATTTTAAACTTTACATACTAAGGAATCGCGAAATGCTGCAACAGTAAGGTGCTTACCATTATTAGCACTTAACTTATTTTCACCTTCTGGAAAATTATTTCAAAAAATCACAAGTGTGATTATAGGATTTCAAAAACGTACTTGATGGTGCTTATAAGACCTACTTATTCATTAAGTGTTTGATATGTCGACAGAATTATACCGTTTTTTATGTCCATAATCATGTACAACAGTGTCTGAATAATCAGTCTATTGTTCTCTTCCGCTCTGCTTTTGTTGGAAAACCACTCAAACATCAGATTCCACTCAGACTAGAAGACGGTTTTTGGTGCTCGACCTTTGTGAAGACTTTGTTTTGTTACAGGGTTAAAATAAGGGGGTTAGTGTCAACTCCTGGTGAATCAGGATCTTTTTTATTACCGGTGAAACAGAAGCTATTTGTTTTTAAAACCCAGCAATTAAATTATAGCACAAGAGATAATGACCTTTCACTGATATTCACACTGACACTGGTATAATGTTTCTTGAGAAACTTGTTGGTCTTTCAAACACTTTTACTTCCTTTTGGTGCTAATAGGACAACATTGACTTGACATGGTTATATACTGTACATTGGTGTCATGGTGCTTTTATACAACTCTACACTGATCTGATGTATGTTTCAATACAAAGGTAGTTTTTTAATTTTTCGGACAGACGGAGATGCATTTCTATCTCCACCATTGATCATGATGCTTTTTAATTATCAGTGAAAGAAATCTAATTATTGTGCAGATTTTCCTCTAGCCCTCAAATGTCTTCCACTAATAACCAAAATCTGCAACCATTTTAAAAAATCACAACACACACACAAAGTGAAATGAATGTAAACAGTTCTTAAATCAGTGGATTTAAAAATGTTGAACCCAACATGACAAAGTTACACTTGTAAATGTTTTTGACTGACTGAGGGGACGTTCTCAATCCACATTGAAAGTATTTGTATCAACAAGGAACTAACAACTAGCACCAGCATTACAACATCTTTAAAAAAAACATTTATTAGTAGAAAATGTGTAAATATGTTTGTGAACCATATTGTTCTTACTGTACTATTAATGGTGTTTAGATAATGGATGCTCTTGCTTATTTTGAAACTGAATTACTGTACGTTGCTGAAAGTATATCCAGTTTAGACTTGAGAAGAGGCTACATTTAGCATTCCTTATATGGATGGCTGATCTCTTTTTGGGATTGTGAAATAAAGTCATATTTATATTTTGGACCTGATCATGATTTCCTCTCCTTATTTGTTGTGTGTGCGAATGCGGGTTTGTTCAGGTGTATAATCTAGGTGTGTGATGAATATGGAGACATAATCTATGCCATTTAACTGTTTAGTTCAGTTATGTGTGAGGGCTTTTTTAACCTTTTTTTTTAATAGCTTGGGGCAGGGGGCTGATCTTCAAAATGTTAAAGTAATTATGAGTTGCAGTCCGAGGAAAAATTATTAAAAACAAATTCCACCTCAACCAGCTGTTAAATACACTTTCATATATTATATACATAATAACAATCTAATGATATAAGAGATAACAGTATTGAAATCACAGGGGACATTTTTCCGCAACTCATGAAGCACCCTTTTGTTAGTTTAAGTTATTAAAGTCTTTTAGTACAAAAAACTAATAAAGTGTGTTGTTGGTTGGCTTGTTAAAAACAAACCAACTCCCTATTTTAATAAACAATGTATGAACATTGGATTTATTAATCACAACCATGATTTAGTTTCAAAACGTTGATGAAGATCATCCATTTAGTAATGTAGAAAGAAGGAGCTTTGAATTGTTTTGCTTGAAAATGCTTGATTTGGTTTGTAACCAATCATAGTTGTGATTCATAAATCCAATTACATTACTAAATGGATGAGCTTCATGAACGTTTTGAAACTAAATCATGGTGATTAATACATTCCTCCAAAGGTCATACATTGTTTATTAAAATAGGGAGTTGGTTTGTTTTTAACAAGCCAACCAACAATACACTAAAATGCCTGTACATGGTAATAAGTGTACCATTCATGTATTTTAAAATGTTCTTTATTTGCATTTCATCTGATGATTCTTTATTTACTTGTGCCCATTTTTTTTTAAATATTGGTTTAATGTTTGGTTTAATTGGGCAACTCTGCCAAACAATGTTTGGAACCCGAGGATTAAATTACATCTTTGTATTATTTAGGCCTATTTAAAGTTAAAAAAAAGTTATTAATGTAAAATATTGATGTGTGTCCTTTCCTCCTTTCTTCGGTGAACTGGACTCGGAGGCTTCCGTAGTTGTGAGAGTGGCTGCAGTGACGCAGAAGCGCTGAACGGGCAGAACATTTCTACTGTCAAGATGGCGACATCCGAGCCGGTAAGAGAGACAAGAGATTGCTGGAAAAAAAAGACAAATACGCAAGGAAGGACTTGCTACAACCTCATGATATATAACGACTTTGTTTTATAATCCTCGTTCTTTAAAGCGGCAGCTAACATTTCGGGCATTTTATTGTGTTTTGCCTCCCAGATGTGTCAGTTCGCGTGGATCTCGGTTAGCGGTTAGCATGCTCAGCAATGTGATGGATCAGACAGGGAGGGACTCTGCGCGTCGTTCATTCAAACTACAATCAATGAATTGTTTTAATCTACTTCGACATTTGAGTTAATATCCTGGTGCTAATGATCAACCATCAGAACCTTAACATTTTCATACTACGATATTACTGATTCGATTTTTGACAATCTTGACACGTGTGTATCTAGCTTTTAGCTAGCTTAGCACGTCTGCTAAAACTAATGCTAGCGACGTTAACTTGTTACCTAACTGTAGCGTATATGTTAATTAATCTTTTTTTTTTTAACCAACCAAAAACTAGCTGTGTTCTATGAGCTGTGATGTAAAAAATATTGACGTGGTAATGTAGAGCTGGATACTACTGTCAGATAATTAAGTTAATAGCTTAACGTTGATCTGAAATTAGCACTTACATCTCGATAATGTGACGGTGAACGGATGTTTCGCAATATATTTAATTGTGTGTACATAGTTATGGTACTGGAGGAAAGTCAATAACTGTAATGTGGATTTAATAGTACCTGAAGTTGTAACAAAATGATCTTTGTACGCCTAAAATGATGAAGGCCCTTACAAATAAGAAGGTTTTTATTCAGCTAAACCAGGTATTCAGGTATGCAAAACGATCACAGGTAATCATTACTTTAGGATCAGCAGGAGATATTTAATTATGGGCATTTTTAATTGCACAAGGGATAATATGCAAAACAGGCAGGGAATTAAGTACAACAAAGATTAATTGTATAACTCAATCAACAATGGTGATAATTATGCTACAACAATATAAGATACCAATAAAAAACAATACAGGTATTATTTAAGCTGCATTGTGACATGGCATGATTGTAACCACAGCCCCTCATATCACCAGATTGGTACAATTTGATACATCTTTCAGCTCAGTTTCGCATATAAAACCTGTTTAATCCTCTGCAAAATGCTTGTATAAATATCTTCAATGGATGTCCTTTGTATCACAGAAGGCTTATGATGATTGTGTGTGTGTGTGTCCCTCTGCAGAAAGCACCTGAAACTGAAGAACAACTGCCAGCTGAAATAGCTGAAATAGCTGAAAAAACTGAAATAGCTGAAAAAACTGAAAACGAAGTTGTTGAGAATCCTGAGGAGTATATCAAGCACCCTTTGCAAAACAGGTGAGAATATAACCAGCTGCTGTGTTTGATAGATATTGCAACCGAAAGGTGCCTGTGCTCACACAGCGTGCAGTATTCTAATATTAAGACTACATGAATCCTAATAAAGAATATGCCATGTGTAAGCGCATTTTTGGACAAACTTTGACTATAATTGAGTAGATTTTATGCCGTTTCGCAACGAATACTGTAATAAATTGTTTCTTTATTGCTCTACTACTAAGGCCTTAAGACATTATCAAATTATCTCTGCATGGAAACATTAATATATCACAGCTGCAACATAGCAGAATAAATATGACTGAAGTTAATAACTAGAAGTAAAGAAGAATGTAACACAGCATTAAAGAGGGCCCTTGTCTAGAAAGGGCCATGTTTGCTCTGAAGCAAGAACTGTTTGCTATTCCCTATTAGGTCCATAGTCTTTTATTGCTCTAACTGTTAACATACTATTTACTCATTTGAGTAAATGTGCACTGAAAAACACATTACGTCTTCGTCTTATTTGGGCATTTACTGATTTCACAAACCTTTAATGTTAACTGCTGCCATGTAATTTCCTGTTATAGTGCTTCAACTTCTTACAATGTTTCGGTACCGCTGTTCTTGATACTTCCTGACTAGAAAAAGGAGTCAAATTGCTCCTCTGCAGTTTGTCTTGACCGATAACTGCCCTGTAAACGTGTTTTATTTGGGTTTAGATTATTTAAACATTTCTATTACAATTATTTGAAGATCCATACCCTAAATAAATAGTTTTCTGACAATTGGTAGAAACCTGGGTGTTGTTGGAGAGCGCCCTAGTTAAGTAAATACTCACAAGAAAATCATGGTAGTCACTAATGGAAACATAAAATGATGATGTGTAAGTGTAGGCTGTGTTATGCTTGAATCGGAAGCACCGAATGAAGAGTTCAGCTTGGTACTCTGCATGTTAGTGTAGCAATTGTTGTTGACTATTGTCAAATGTTATCACAGTTCTGTGGCGGTGACGACCTATTCAGGAGCATTGTGCGCTCGGTTTAGGAAATGCTGAATAGTTCAACTGGTAGGTCACTTCTAGACCATTCTGCTTGTTCAGCCCAGCCTCGGAGTTCAAGGCTGTTCTCCTCTGCTGCTCTGGCCATTCTGGTTTTAGGCGGCATATTTGATCTCCCATTATAACAACCTCAATGTTGGATGACACCATAATACAGCAAGGTTTTGTCGCTTATCTCTGACTCACTGTTGTTCACAAAAAAGAAATCCTGGCTTGTAGAATTTAATTAAGTTTCATAAGACTGGTATATTGTGAAATTGTATTTACCTACAGTGTTGTGTATTAGGTACGCCTACCTAAGCCTTCTAATGCAATCCTTCAATAACACCTGCAAGAGATGTGTTGTTGTTATTTAGCCTCCCCCCGTTAATAGGGTAGACTAGATGATAGAAAGACCTGTCAGTACAAGCAGTTTAATTCAACAGCAGCATAAACTACACCCTCCAAAAATAACCAGAAGGGAAATTCTAAGCTTCAACTAATATTAAACATTATTTCATGAGTGTTTAATTAGAATCCATTCATTTTAAATAGTTGTAACATTTTGTTCCTGTCACTGCAACAGAAGAGTTAGACAGATACAACGGGGAATGGTTGGAATACATGCTATAAATGTGCAATAAGCTTACACCTGCTGATATATTGGCAAAGACGTAACTTTTATTTAAATCAAAATATAGTCAGTGTTTCCCACAGAATTTGATTCTATTTGTGGGGTCACCGCACCGCACCCCCATAATGAGTGAGACACACCGGAGTTGAGGATCTGTGGGGTTTATTCTCCCAAAAAAAAAATGTTTTTATGAGATCTATTTGTGGCGGACGATATTTAATTGTGGCGGTCCGCCACAAATGAATCGATGTATGGGAAACACTGAAAGTATTTTGGTTACAGTGTGTCATGATTTAAGGTAACACAATGTCCTCATACCATAATAATTACATTGACATACCATAACTGCCTCTTTAAGCTCCTCTGTTAATCTTGTTTAGTGTTTACAGATTTGTTGCCCACATTTCACAAGAGCATGCATTTAGCCAAGATAGTAACACCTGTGTTTTGGCAAAACAACCTACCGCCCAGGCTTGAGGAAACGATTGAATGAATAAGGCGTTTAAAGAATATTAGTCTGACATATCAGTCTCGAGAGAAATATGACGGGGTTATTAATCCATCGTTGGCTTATTGGACTACTGTCTGTCGGTTTATTTACATGCCACAACTAGGCAGGTAAACAAACCGTAAGTAAAACTTTATTTATATAGCACCCTTCTCAACACGAATGTACAAAGTGCTTTACAGTACAGTACACAGGACACAATTCAAAGTACATATATTTACTATAAAATGTAGAATAAAAGGCATAAAACAACAGCAGGTAACACATAGGATAAAACACCAAAGAAAGACAGCTACTAACTCACCTCCTCCGGCGACCCAAAGGCCTGTCGGAAAAGGTGGGTCTTTAACTGCCCCTTAAAAATCTCTATTGAGGCAGAGGCTCTTAGTTTCTGGGGGAGTTTGTTCCAAAGCCTTGGGGCCACCGCCTCAAAGGCACGGTCACCGTGTCCTCGGATGGGTTCACTGGAGTAGTCACGCCTGTGTGTTGTCTCGTCCTCACTGTTGTGTAATGTGTGTCAGCCGAGTTGCTACATGGCACAGTACTGTTTTAAGCTCTGGTTTATCTTTGTTCAGTGCACAACATCTCTGTGTATTGCACATGGGTATGGTTAAAAGTTGGATATCGGTGTATTGTGGTGGGTGGGTTGGGGGACACTGGGTTCAGCTAATGTCCCCTCTCTGCCCCCATCCCTCCCTTGCTAGCCCCATCTCTCCTGGGAATAGATGAAAGAATACCAGGGCCCGTCACAAACAAAGGCTGCATTTGTAGTGCTGATGATGGCCGGCTCTCTGTTCTTCTGCATCGATATGCTTTTGTAACAAGCTGCTGTGAAGGGTGCATATCTGTGATTTTTCTTAAGGTTATTCTGTTTTCCATTAAAAAAGCACTCACAGTAAATGCCTTATTTGCAATTGTACTTGAGTCATTTACCAATAGTCTTGTGGAATACTAAGTGTACTGATGCTTGTGTTTTCCTCTCAGATGGGCTCTGTGGTATTTCAAAAACGACAAGAGCAAAAGCTGGACAGAGAACCTGCGTCTCATTTCCAAGTTTGACACAGTGGAAGACTTTTGGGCGTAAGTTTTCTCTACTAATCCTGTATTGTGAATATGATTTTGTCTCCTTTTTTATAAAGGGAATAAGGGGAGGGTTTCAGAAGAATGGCATTTTAATCAAAATCATATTTTACTTCATTCATATGGAGACAATAAGGGATTTCGTTGAAACAAAGGGTATTATGCAGATTAACATAAATTATCATGTCATTAATTCTTTCTTTATGCTTACATTTTCTTCTGTTGTCTGCACCTCACCTGTTGTATTTGCATCTTTATAATTTTAAATACTGATTCAGATCAAATTAAAGTGATTCCTGAATATCATCGTGCCCCGACAAGTTGCAGAACAATCTTTACAGGAAAGCAGCTTGCACTTTACACATAGTTACTTGTGTAAAAGCCTCTCAATATGTAGCCCTTGGAGATGCTCCGATCGCCAATTTGATCGAGTGGGTGGGGGCTATGGGGATCTCCCATTTAAAGTGATGTTTAAAACTCAGTTAATGGGGCTCATTCACTGGCGCTTCCACAAACAACAACCAACATAATTATTACATTCAAATGAAGTACATTATTCAAGTTTACATTAACTTTGGATAATAACACGGGAGAAATGAGCGGAAGCGCTCTCTTTTCCTCTCTCCCTCTCTCCCTCCCCTGACAGCCCGTCAGTATCCGTCTCATGCAGCTCGCTGATCCAGTAATGAGTGACCCGACAGTGAAGAATAAACATATTTATAACTAGTTTAGCTTGTTCCAGAGGTAGATAAAATGGCTAAGTGTGTTAGGTCAAACTCTTGTGTGTTTCGCTCTGCTCACCGGTCCGTCACAGCGGGCGGAGCTGCAGGATTTCTGCTTCACACACACGTTGCATACCGCTATTTTACTGTCTTATTCGGACAGCTTAAAATACTGCCAGACTGGTGAAGCCAGTTTGGCGAGCTTGTTTTGCCGCGCACAGAGGAAAGTCTCATGTATTTTACGTCATGTGATCGGCTCTCCTGATCGGCCTTTATAGAGAGCGCCGATCGATCGGCAGAGAGTGAATATAGGCCGATAACGATCAGCGGCCGATCGATCGGAGCATCCCTAATAGCCCTTTATCAATGTTTAATTAACTCTTAACTTGCCATTTGTCAACCAATGCAGATGATGTTCGTACTGTCACTGAAGTCAACCATCTGGAATACTTCCAACCCTTTTGTGTGTTTCTTACAGATTATACAACCACATACAGCAACCTAGCAAACTTGGCTTTGGCTGTGATTATTGTTTATTTAAGGTAAGCCTACATTTGTTTTCCTTTTCAACAATAGGATGTATTAATAAGCATGCAAAGTGAATCAATTGAGAATCAGGTTTCTTGCCAAGTAGCTTTACACATACAAGGAATTCACTTTGTTAATTGGTGCATACATAAACACAAGAGGTTTATAAAAACGATTAAACATTTTAAATATAAAATGGAAACGTCTACAACAATGTAATATACAAAAAGTACAATAAGAATATAACATATTACTCTGTGCAGTATCTCAGTGGGAGAGCTGTGCAGTTTTTTTAAGTGGTAGCATTGTGAGTCGGAGCTATTTTAACTTTCTCCAAATGTATAGTAATGCTTCAATTTTAACCAACCATGAATGAAGTTTTAAAATGTGTCTTTTCACTCTGTGTGTCAGGATGGGATCAAGCCGATGTGGGAAGACGATAGGAACAAGCTCGGGGGTCGATGGCTGATGACCCTCAACAAGCAACAGAGACACAACGATCTTGACCGCTACTGGATGGAGACGGTAAGCGGGCGTTTTCATGGAGCAGCTCATAGATAAACCTATATCTCAACATTTCACATTCAAGACAAAAAAACAACAGTATGATTCATATGTGTCCCATTTTGTGTATTTTGCAGCTCTTGTGTTTAGTCGGTGAGTCGTTTGATGCGGCAAGTGAAGATGTGAATGGAGCTGTGGTCAACGTCAGACCCAAAGGTGACAAAATATCAATCTGGACGAGCAACTGCCAAAACAGGGACGCCATCATGACGATAGGGTACGTTAAAAGGTCACCTTGTAGATCTTAGAATGACACTAATTCAAGTAATAGTGGTCTAGTTTACCACTAGATGGAGACACTAAGTTGGCGTCCATCTTCATAACGCTTCTTGCTTTTCCACAGGCAAAATTATAAAGAGCGTCTGAGCATCCCCACCAAAGCCATCATCGGCTACCAGTCACATGACGACACATCCAGCAAGAGCGGATCCACCACCAAGAACATCTTCTCCGTTTGAAAAAGTCCTCCACCCCGGTTTCAACTCGCTGTAGATTTAAACAATTACCAAACCGCATAATCACAATAATACTTTTGAGTTGTCATCTACTGTAGTGTCTTTTCCTTTTTATTGAAAAGAGATTTGTTCATAGTGTATACAGTTGGAGCTTCGCCCAGCAGCGGGGTGATGATAATGATTTGGGAGGAGGCCAGAAAGGAGTATTTGGCTCAAAATGTCACGTAAGCTAGAGAACACGCATTATTTCCTTTTTAGAGTTGAAAAGTTCTGTGATTACTACCGGTGACCTCCCCTAGCTTAGCTAAGATGAAGCTTATTTTCAGTACCTAATGGCTTTGAGTTGCAAAAAAACGTAACTATACAGCCTTGTGTTTTTCTTATTCTGGGTTCTAACCCTCCTTACAAATGCTTTTTGTCACCTTGCAGGTAAACTTATCGTAGGCAACTTATCTTTCACAGAACAAATTTTAAGGGCAGTTTTAACTTGATTTTTCCAGAAGTGTTAACCATGAGTTGGGCTTTTTGGCGCCCCAGTTTGAGAAATCTACAGTATCTTAAAGATTTGTAAAAGCTGTGGCCTCATTCCAAATTATAGGGGTTACATTTAAGGTCGCTTATTGTTTCAGCCACGCTGGAATTGTGAAAATATAGCTTGTAGTATTTTTTGAACTTTTTTTTTTCTTCCCCTTACATTTATTTATAATGTATACATTGAAATACTTAGTTGAAAGACGACCATGAAACTTGTGTTTTTTCAAATTGTTTTTTTTTTCTCTTTTTTGTTACTACGGTCAATAATGTGTACTACTGCATATAGATGACATTTTTTACAGTGTACCATAAAGATGCTGACAGAATTAGGTGTGCTTTTCACTGTTTTCTTCCCAACAAAAACTGTAGATAATGTCGCACGCCTCTCTTGGTTGATGCAAAGAAAAGATGATATTCATTGTGAAATGATTTTGCTCATAATGTATCTTTATTATCTGTAATTCCAGGATGTATATTACCTTCTTTCAAGTAAAGGTCAAGTGCTTTGCATTAAAACCCGAAAGCATGTTGTCTTGTTTAGTGGACATTAAATAAGACGTACACTTGTGAGTTACTGTATGCCTAGCAGCTTGTTATAACTTTGGCACAAATATTGCATTAAAGTAGGACCCCATCACTACAGAAACGGGAGAAAATACATGTCAGTAACCTATACATTTATCTTTAAAGGTACATTGCATTGAGGATTCCTTACTCTAGTTTACACGTAAAAAAGATTCAGCCCACCACGCCTAAAACTAGTACATTCTTCTGGAACAGTAACCTGGTGAGGATTTTGACGTCATTGTTTTCAGAACACACTGACAGATCTATTATTCGGCTGTCCCTTAGTCATGCAGTCAAACAGGATGTAGTGACGCCACAGGGACTTAAAATACCTGAACGGGTTGTTTTTCATCTCACTCAACTAGATGGAACTTCAAGGTACAATCAGCAGAATAACAGGACTTATGAGTGTATACAGTGGTCATGATTTAATAAAGTGTCAAAGCTATATACAAGTGCTTAAGGAATATAATTGGAAGCTAACATCAGTGACATTTTCAGTAAATCTGGTCCTTATCAGTGTAACTAATGAGGAATTGTTCATTGTTGATATTAAAATAGTATAACAAATCATTGCGCAATACAACTGATAAACGTAGAAGGATTCTTAGAGTGTAACACATCAAAGTTAATTGTTCTGTTGGCAGAGCATCAACATGACATGATGAAAGGAATTTATCATGTTTTGTTCATTTGCTATTCAACTTCGTTTCAATAAATAAGGAATAAGAATCAGATATGCCTGGTTTAAAAAAAGTTTAGGCTACCGTATCCAAAGGTCGAAAACAAAAGTTCTCCTAATTCATAAATAACTATTAATCCACCCGAGCAGTGAAAAAGTATCACTGTACTCCAAGCCAAGGTCCAGCCACAGATGTCCTCACAGATGTGTTACCCAGTCCATCCTCCCTGCTTATGTGCTGCACCTGGACCGTGGGGGCCTCATATCAAGACATCGATATAATCAAAGGCTTTTTCTCCTCTCGTTTGGTCAGCAGATTTGAGATCATGAACGATGAGAAGAAACAAAGCTGAGCTCAAACAGCTCCAGGTTGACGCTGAGCATCCACTCAAATATAGCCGACAAGTGAACGTAAAAGTACTGGTCCTGGGCAAACAAAACAGTATCTGAAGGGTTAATAATGTGTACTATGTGCATATAGATGACATTTTTTTACAGTGTACCATAAAGATGCTGACAGAATTAGGTGTGCTTTTCACTGTTTTCTTCCCAACAAAAACTGTAGATAATGTCGCACGCCTCTCTTGGTTGATGCAAAGAAAAGATGATATTCGTTGTGAAAGGATTTTGCTCATAATGTATCTTTATTATCTGTAATTCCAGGATGTATATTACCTTCTTTCAAGTAAAGGTCAAGTGCTTTGCATTAAAACCCGAAAGCATGTTGTCTTGTTTAGTGGACATTAAATAAGACGTACACTTGTGAGTTACTGTATGTCTAGCAGCTTGTTATAACTTTGTCACAAATATTGCATTAAAGTAGGACCCCATCACTACAGAAACGGGAGAAAATACATGTCAGTAACCTATACATTTATCTTTAAAGGTACATTACATTGAGGAATCCTTACTCTAGTTTACACGTAAAAAAGATTCAGCCCACCACGCCTAAAACTAGTACATTCTTCTGGAACAGTAACCTGGTGAGGATTTTGACCTCATTGTTTTCAGAACACACTGACAGATCTATTATTCGGCTGTCCCTTAGTCATGCAGTCAAACAGGATGTAGTGACGCCACAGGGACTTAAAATACCTGAACGGGTTGTTTTTCATCTCACTCCACCCTAGTACCACACTTCAAGGTACAATCAGCAGAATAACAGGATTTATGAGTGTATACAGTGGTCATGATTTAATAAAGTGTCAAAGCTATATACAAGTGCTTAAGGAATATAATTGGAAGCTAACATCAGTGACATTTTCAGTATATCTGGTCCTTATCAGTGTCACTAATGAGGAATTGTTCATTGTTGATTATATTAAAATAGTATAACAAGTCATTGCGCAATACAACTAATAAACATAGAAGGATTCTTAGAGTGTAACACATCAAAGTTAATTGTTCTGTTGGCAGAGCATCAACATGACATGATGAAAGGAATTTATCATGTTTTGTTCATTTGCTATTCAACTTTGTTTCAATAAATAAGGAATAAGAATCAGATATGCCTGGTTTAAAAAAGGTTTAGGCTACCGTATATCCAAAGGTCAAAAACAAAAGTTCTCCTCATTCATAAATAACTATTAATCCACCCGAGCAGTGAAGAAGTACATCACTGTTCTCCAAGCCAAGGTCCAGCCACAGATGTCCTCACAGATGTGTTACCCAGTCCATCCTCCCTGCTTATGTGCTGCACCTGGACCGTGGGGGCCTCATATCAAGACATCGATATAATCAAAGGCTTTTCCTCCTCTCGTTTGGTCAGCAGATTTGAGATCATGAAGGATGAGAAGAAACAAAACTCCACAGCAAAGCTGAGCTCAAACAGCTCCAGGTTGACGCTGAGCATCCACTCAAATATAGCCGACAAGTGAACGTAAAAGTACTGGTCCTGGGCAAACAAAACAGTATCTGAAGGGTTTCAAGTTAAGGATGCAATGCAGTCAGTCCCTTAAAAACCTGTCATTGTAAAGAGCTCCTGAAATCAGTTCATGAGCATTGGCAAAATCCCTAAACACTCCATGACAGTAAGAGAGAAAATAAAGATGTATCAATGTACAAAATACAAGAAGCCAGCTGTTTTCACCCTGTAGGCTAGTGTGTATATAATAATAATAATAATAATAATAATAATAATAATAATAATAATAATAATAATAATAATAATAATAATAATAATAATAATAATAATAATAATAATAATAATAATAATAATACATTACATTTATAAAGCGCTTTTCCTGGTGCTCAAAGTGCTTATATTAAACTTTCACCTGAGCCCATAAAGGAGGCTTGGAGGTCTAATCCCCAAACATAGAGGTGTAACCAGCTATTGTAAGCTTTAAAATCAACATTTAACTGCTCTAGTTGTAGTCAGAGACTGTTGTAGCCTGTCCCACTTTATAAACACTTCAGCAGCAGACCGGATCCAGTTATGGCACAGGGGAATAGTGTACTGCAGAGCAGCTGGACTATGTAATGGACACGTCACTGCTAGAGTCAATTGCTGGAATATCATGCCTAAAGCTTCACTAAATTAATGTTTACCATGTTTACTTTCATCCAACCTGCTGGATTTACCAGCTCACTGCACACCTATCATCCTATTGGTGCAAAATTGCCCTCAAATAGAAGAATTGTGAAGAATACCTACCACACAAAAAACAAGTTAACATAGCTCCAACATTTATGAAAGGATACAGCAGATGGTAACGATGGTTTGAACCACAGTGGAGACGATGCGGAGTGGATAGAGAGACCTCTCATATCCTGTCAGCACACACTTGCCGGTCAGTGAGGTGAGCAACACAGTGTAGAAGCAGATACACATGAAACTGATGGCAGCTCCGAAGTAGTGAGGCAGTGCCAGGTCACCCGGCTGTGGAGCACAGAGAGGAGTTTCCAGAGTCAACAGATACATAGAGTAAAGAGATTAGATAGATTAAATCAGGGCAGAGATTAATGTAAACATTGATAGATGCATGGATGAGCGTACATAAAATCTGTACTAATGAACTACTCACTGAAGGAAATAACCCCATGCAGTTAGCGTGCAACTAAATAACCACCTGACAATTGGCCATTTTTATTAGCAACTGGTTTACTCCTGTTTAACACACGGGTTGTATGGTGTGGTGATATCAGATTGTTAAATGATGCAGTGCTTATGTCTTTCAAACACCTATTATTATCATTTGTCACGTAAAAATGATAGTTTACTTCAAACAGACCCATCTTAGGTTTTAAACTGTTGCGGTGTACCAGCTTGTTGTAAACGTGGCTTGTGCCCTTAATCACTACAGCTGACATTGAACAAATAGTTACCCACCTTTGTTTGCTGTTTCAACACAGGTGCAAATGGAAGCTTTATTGTCAGCATTATATGATATAGTACAATTTGTCTCACAGAAACTTACGGTATGATAGCAATTTAAAGCTGCTATTTAAACATCTTCAAACATTTAACAGGAAGTGAAGTACTTACATTACAGTTTCCAGCTGTGAATGCCCCCAAGGCTGCCACCACACCAAAGACCAGCGCAAACTTGCTCAGCATGGAATGACATCTGTGTCTCTCCATAATATGAGCATGGTGGAATATACAGAAGAGCAGGACTAAAGAAGAGAGATCACAGATGTTAGAACACATATCAGGAATAGCATAACAAATGTGTAAGGCAGGTAAACTCACACAGAAAGGATCCTGCGTTGATCGTGGCTGTGAAGAGTGAGTTTTCTGGTGATTTAGTTCCACTTGAGCTAGAATACCAAAATAACGTTGTTATATGTAATAATGTAATGTTAATTGTTTCACTAGTCCATTCAAAACATTTAATTTTTCCCAACACAATATAGGATTTTCTTTAATATATAAAAATGCAAGAAAAAGCTTCACATATTACGATGGTTTGAAAATGCATTGTAAAACAGTGCATTTGTAAATGTTTATGTGGGCTCAATGTGCTTTAACATATCCATTTTAATAGCAGATTGTGCAAACCAAAATCTGTTGCACACAAAAACAATTACATTTATTCTGCACATTAATTATTCTATTCTCACCTTATAGTGGGAACCAAGCAACATCCAGTGGTATGATTTGCTTTGCAATAGTTGTCACTCCCCCTGAAAACAAATGAATTAGCTTCTGAGGAATCTGCCACATTCAAATGCTGATGGTCAACTTTTTACAATACTGAGACACAACTCACCAGTCACTGAGAGAGCACACATGTGTGTTAGCTAACGCTAGGCCATATCTGGAAAGATAAAACAAAAGTAAAAACATATCAGTATGGTAAATATATAGGACTTGAAATCTGGGCTCAATTACACTCTGATTTAATATAAAGGAACATTCAAACTACTGTATGGCAGATTTTGCATTACTGTGTAATACCAAATAAAAAAAGCATTATCTTCCAATGTTTTTGAATAAAAGTAGGACTTTAGTCATTCCTTTCCACTGAATCTGCTCATGAGGATTTCTGGGAAGGTAATATATGTTTTCGAATTCTTTTAAACCTACCAACATGCAATAAACGACAATAGTTAAAAAAAAGGATTACTGCCTCTAAACTCCAATGATTTTGTTGTCACCTTGTGATCACCACCAACATATTTGGTGTTCATTCAACGCTATCTTGTGGTTTTTCATCGAAAAATCACCATAAATGTATCTTGCATTAAACTAAAACAAGTTCTGACTCCACTCTCAAGAATGGACTACTGTAACATGGCAAGAAACTATACCCAATATCACTAAATGACAAGGCAGAATGAATAAGTATATTTCTTGAAATTCTGGTGTGCACACCTATCAACAGAAAAACAAGCCGTAGGACTTGTTTTATGACTGCTGTTTCATAATATGTTCAATAGTATTACCTCTCAAGCTTTCTCATGCTGCTCTGACTTATCTCTTACATATACACTTTAAAAGTTGAAATTATATTCAAAGCATGTGAAACATATATCTGCCAGACATTACTTTATGCCATCTCACAACTTCCTGTTCTGTAATCAGTATTACTACTGGAACTTAATGTCCTAAAACAGGAATATGCAGATGAAATACAAACTTTGATTATTATAAAGTGTCATTTTCAATAGTGCCAAACATGAAAAACATTATCATGGAACCTTCCTAACACATTGTGGTTCTTGCTTCGTGATCAGCTTAAGGCTTTCATATGTAAATTATACAATGAACAGAAGTATAAAAGGTATAACAGAATAAGAAATACTTGAAAAACAATTCACCAGAGCGTAAAGACAATTAAGGAAGTGTGGATCTTTGGTTAACTTACACAATCCATGTTCCAATGAAGGACACCAGGGAGAGGGATATGGGGAAGATAATCCAGAAAACCATGTCTTGGTGGTGAAGAAGGAAATAAACTAATTAAAAAAGGGATTCCTCAAGTCCAGTTGTCTTAAAAGCACTCAATGATAGACCTCTTCAGGAGTTCCTCATGAAGACATCCTCATACCTACAGATCAAGATTAGTACTGGAACAAAAAAAGTCCTAATCCTATGATGTCAGTGTAGTTCAGGTTTTTCAAGCACACAATTGCCTTGCTGCACTCAGCGACAGTCTTCCACCATACAGAAAGCCCTGCTTTTATGGGAGAGTCTTTCTTTCTCTGCCACTCCTTTTGAGCACCACCTTTCCCTGTCAGAGCAAACGTTGGGAAACATGGGGCTGGCCTTCTTCGCGCAATCTCGTTGTTTGTTTAATTCAAATAACTGCTCTATCTGAAGTCACTCTACAGTTTGTTATAGATGACTCTGGGTTTTATATATGCACTCTTCTATAGATGTGATAGTATGTGGGCATAAAGACACACAATATAAGAGTTATATACTAGAAAAAACTAATCTCAGAACTCTGAATGTTATCTTAGGAATGCTTTAAATGATCAAGTGACAGGCTTTGTTTGACCTGTTGTACATGTTGTGGAATGTAAGTAGCCTGCATGTACTTTATATAACTGTCACTATCATTTGTACAAAAATTAAAAAATTAAAAGGCTGTTCTCAGGCTCCTGTCAACAATGCTCATAGGGTTTAAAGAGAAAATCATAATTAGGAATCTCAGAATTCATTAACATAAAACAATGCAGTACAAGTTTAAATATAGGACTAATTATTAATATATATATGAATTATTAGTATATAAATATTACACTAATAGATTTATTATGCAGCAGATATTACCTTATTTTTTTACGAACTGTCATGTCTCAAGTATATTCATCATGGCAAAAACAACTGGTCTCATGTGCATATGCGGTAAGGCAATAAAATGAAGAAAGTCAAGAAACACTATTAGTAGCCTACCGTATCTCTTTGAAACAGGAAACTGAATTATGACTACACAATAATTACCTTGCATTACATTTTATTACTCCAGTGAAGAGTGGGACTATTTTTAACCCTTAATACGCTCTACTTTTCATTAATCTTTTCAGTTTCTAAATGTACTTGTAGTGTGTCATCTTAGTTATTTAGGTATTTTAGGAATCTAATTGTTATTTTTTCAACTTTTATAAATATATAATAGTATTTTATCCCTTTTTTGTTATGTTAAATGGTCTGGTTTGTGCTCTTAATACCTTAATTGTTACACTAGGCAGGAAAGGCAAGTTTATTTATATATTCACTAGGGAAATGAAGAGTCAGATATCAGGATCTGGATTTTGTGCTGTCACCACATGGGGTCCTCATTTTCAAAACAAACAAAATGGCGGCGCACATGAGATGGGGTCTTCTACGGTTGTTACGGGCAAGAAATACGGCTCATTTTAGGTTTGAACCTCTACACATCTGACATTTTATTTTCTACACATTTTGTACTGCTGATATGGAAAGTAGCAACACTTTCGTAAAGCATGGACGTGACATTCAGACGTGTGGTTGACATTAGCTAGCTTATTAGCTAACTAGCAAACTGCGACACTAGATAGGTTTGTAACTCTTATCCATATATTTACAGGTGGATATATCAAATCGGCAGATATAGTCATTTCTACTTCGTTTCGTCTTTGATTTTACGTTTACGTTTTTCCATATCCCAAGGTTGTAAGTTAGCTGCTAACGATAGCTTGCTAGGGCTGTACACTTTAAATCAGTACAATGACAAAGCGTCTCCCTTTCAAACTGTGAAATAAAACAGCTAAGGAAACGGATGTTGCTTTCATCCATCAAAGCCCGCTAATTGTGTGCTGGTTCTCAAGAAGTGAATTAGTTTAAGACTTATGTAGACTGACAGTTTTGGTCAAATGTTTTTACGTTTCAAGGTTTCCAGTGAAGACCCAAAGCTCGTACCTCTCTTTGAGCTCGACCCAGATCTTCGGAAAAGTTCAGCCTCAGCTCTGGACAGGAAGCACACACTTCTCAAGTGAGAAACCAATGTTTGGACACCTTGAAACATTAACTTATTCTCTGCAGGTTGTTTCTTAAACATGACCAAATTAATACTGAAAAATATGTTTATAATATCTTTCAGCAAGACACCTGTCCATCCAGACTCAAGACACTCCAAACCCCAGAAGTTTGAAGTTTCTCCCTGGAAAACCTGTCCTAGGAAGTGGGACGCTTGACTTTCCGACTCCGAGCACAGCTGAATGTTCATCATTAGCCAGGTTGAGTGCCATGATTGTTGAACTTTGTCGTGTGTGTTGTTTCTGGTTTTACAATATAGAATTATTTAAGGAAATCACAATTCATAGAAGAAGTGTCATGTTTTTGAAATCATCAGATTCTGCACACTCATATAACACTGATGGATGTATGTCTACTCACGATGTCTGTTCGAAAAAAGAAGCTAAATTGTATTGATTTAATAGGTATTGATCTTCATAAGTTAAATATATGCATTATTTGTATGAGTGGGGGTTTCCTCTTATAAACAATTGTTTGACACTGAATATTGTCTTCATTTAGCAATACATGATTTTGTTGTAATTTGTTCGCAGTGACACAGTAGAATAATACATACAGCAGATGTGACAAATGCACCATGTGCAGAATACATCTGTCAGTTGACAGCATGGGAATAGCTTGTGTAGATAAGATGTTTTGTTTGCTAATACATAAAGTATTTGACAACAACTTAAAAAGCAGTGCAATCATCAATGACACACTTGATAAAAGCCAATCCGAGCGGAAGTTGTTATCACTAAATGAACCAACATGAAGACAGACTCCATGCTGTCATTGGTATGTTTTCTTTTGTTGGAACAATAACATGATTAGATGTTTCTTTCAGGGAACTGTTTGAAATTGAAGGCGTAAAAAGTGTGTTCTTTGGCCCGGACTTCATCACAGTTACTAAAGTAAGTATCAAATGTACTCGTCATGCATTACCATGAAATCTGTGTGGTGATAAAACACGTGAGATCTTTGTTTTCTTATCAGACAGATGAGGATGTGGCATGGACAGAGATTAAGCGTCATGCTTCGGAGGCCATTGCTAACTTCTTTGAGAGTGGTGATCCAATAACAGTAGGAGCAGTGCACCATGAAAGCAGTGAGTTTATAGTATTAGTGATCTTAGAGTTATGTGTCCGCTTGTGTAAATATCTCCAAACTGTTAATTGTTTTCATTGTAGGTATTTCTGAAGATGATGATGAAATCGTATCCATGATAAAGGAGCTTCTTGACACCAGAATAAGGTACAAAACCTATAACTTTGAGATCCATTGAGGTTATAATTAGCAAAACTGAGTGTGTCCGGCACTGCTAATATACTTTACAACAGCAGTGGAACAACATGTCATCTGTCATGCACTGGACAGGCTCTATATACCTTTTATTTAAGTTCTATCAGTTCTTATTTTTGTCTTATTGCTGCTGCAATCCCTGAATTGTCTCCTTACAAGATCATTAAAGGCTAATATTTCCCTAAAAAATTATCTATGGTTGTCTACGGCAATTGGATAGCTCACTGATTTTATTTAAATACTTATCCAATATTTCCTCTCGGATATTTGTTTACTCAACAATCATAACGATGCTGAGATAGCAGTCTTAATCTCTCTGTCCTATGTGTTTCCTATGTTCTGAACTAATTGATATGGTGTGTATTGCTCACAAGACCTACAGTGCAGGAGGATGGAGGCGATGTCATCTTTAAGGGGTTTGAGGACGGCACGGTCAAGCTGAAGCTGGTTGGTTCTTGCACAGGGTGTCCCAGTTCTACCGTTACCCTGAAGAACGGCATTCAGAACATGATGCAGTTTTATATCCCGGAAGTAGAAAATGTGGAGCAGGTGATTATTTATATGGATTAGCAGACATTTGTGCAGGTTTTTGTGTGAGACTAAGCCTCAATTATGTTTCATTATGAATTGGTTTCATACGTTTCTGTGAGGATTATTATGAAGGAAATTGTGCTGTGATCTCAATTCAATTTCATTTGTGGCTCTTAAGGCTGAGCAATGACACCAGACTGTACATTTTCAGTCTGTGGGTGCGTTTTTCCTCGTTACCTACTACTTTTCTAAGTTGAGTGTTTGTCATGATATGACTGTACATAATTTACCATCACATTTAACATTTTGTCAATTATCTTTTTTGACCAGGTGGAAGATGAAGTTGATGAAATCAATGCAAAGGTTTTCTCAGAGCTGGAACGCAAATTACAAGAATAAAAACGTCTTGGACCGACTCCCTTATGCATTTCGTTGTAGGAAGAGTATATTCCACTGTGTAAATACACAGCATAATTCCCAGTAGGGCCATTCTATAATATGAATGGAAAGAGAAAATTATCCCCCTGCTATTTTGTGTGTATGCTATATACTACTAGAGTTCATGTTCATATGTGTACATACTGTATGCCCCTGTTATCAAGATAGCAATTACAGGAAAATACCTGTATACAGAAAATACTTTGAGCAGGTCAAAATGTTCTACTGTGATTGCTGTAAATGTTGTGATGTATTTATTTCTTATAAATATTTTATATTTTGAAAGAATACTTTTCATAGAATGGACATATTGTGAAAGGTGAAACGGTTATGCTCATGCAGAATGAAGGTTGGATTAAGTATTTCCATTGTTGCTGCAATATAACAACAGAAAAATAACTGAACTATAAGTTAGTGTGCTGTGTAACTCCCTTTAAGACCTTTATGCTATGTATGTGCTTTGGACTTCATTATAACAATGTATCACTGTATCAAACAAAGTTCACATATTGAAAGCAAATTGTTGTTGTTGACTCCCTTTGTCGTGCTGCTGTGTTATTTTCTCCCAGTGTCATTTCGTCCCACATAGAGAAAACACTAGAAATAACTAAAGCAAAGGCTACTGAATTGTCACAGTCTTTACACTTAATAGTTATTAAATAACAGAATAATCTTTCATATTAAATTGATAGCTATCATTTAATTGATAAATTAAAAAGTATTTACTACTGTATTGAATCTCAGCTGTGCAGAGCACTGGTTCCCAACCTGTGGGTTTGCAAAAGCTTAATATGGTCATCATGAAACCTTGGTTTTAAGGTGTGTAATACAACTTTTTTTATTGGTTTAAAATGTGATGAATTATAACTGATATTAGGAGTGAGGTCGTCAAGGAAAAATGTTGGCAGTTGAGCTGAGTCGGTTCTTCTTCGCGCATGCTCAGTTCATGTCTACATCGGCCGGCGCAGGGGACATTGGTAAGCACTGCTGACTATGTTTTACGCAAGACCTTTACTACTTTAATTATTCGGAACACTTAATGTGCGATTATTAGTTGCGTGCAAGGGAATTGGTGCTATGAATGAATGTTGTATATTATAATTTTAAACATTGGTCGTTTCAGTGCCATCTGCGGCCTCGCATTCGTTATCCAATCCAGCACGAGGCTAATCTGGCAACAAAGCTAACGGCATCACAACGTTAGCTAGCAACGCATAGCTCTTAGCGTTTTATCTTTTTTTTACAATACCATAATGCGTTTTAATGTTGTATTAGCTTACAAAGGCATGTTTTTATCATGTTAACCAAGCCACAATGACCTGATCAAAATATGTGTTTGACTAGCTGGTGTTAAGCACAACAATAACAGCATTGGCTAAAATGGTAGCTAGCTATCATTCTGTCAGTTGCAGTTGCTAACATTAGCCAGAAGTCGCGGTGTCAGCAGTTATTAAGCTACGGAGCTCTGCAGAAATCACGGGTAACCAATTGTGTTATTGAAATCGTACGGAAGTAATTACATTGTTCTTTCGACGCACTACATCGTTCTCTCGACTTGATTAATTCAGTCCCTCGTGTTTGGCAATTGGCGTCAATATATATGAAATTAACCGTACGAACTAAGGTTAATGGCTGTAGGTTGTCCAGAAAGTGTTTACTTCATAATAAGGAACATAGCTTATTTCCTGGTGCCCTGTTCCTCATTTTGACTAAATGCTAATATTACATTGGACCTTGTTTTAGTCCTGCGTGTTGCTTGCTGCATATCCTTGCCTGCAAATGCAAACACGTCTTCAACCTACTTCATCTCCCCAACGTACTTTACGGTTTGTGTTAAATGATTACAAATCCTTTACCCCTGGCTAATTTGTTATTTTTTTCTCGGCTTTGTTTTTATTGAAAAGCAACGGCTTGGTGAGCAGAGAATACCCTTAACCTGAATGAGTCATGGCCCAATTCGGGGGACAGAAGAATCCGCCGTGGGCCACGCAGTTTGCTGCCACAGCGGTGTCCCAGCCGGGTCACTCGGGACAGCCTCTTGACCTGAATAGCTTGCATTGTGAGTATAGCAAACAAACAAAAACCTCTCTTATTAGGCGCATGGTAACAATAACGTATATGGCACATATCAACGTTTCCCCCATTTAGTTTTAGTTTTAGTTTTCACTCTCATTTGAATCTAATGCCCTATTTTCCTTCTTCATAGCTCTTGGTGTGCAGCAGCCATCTCTATTGGGAGCATCGCCCTCTGTTTACTCTCAACAGTCAGCCTTGGCTGCAGCCTCTCTCAGCAACCAGTCTGCTGCAAACTATCAGCTGTCTCAGCAAACTGCTGCCTTGCAGCAGCAAGCTGCAGCAGCTGCCGCAGCAGCACTACAGCAGGTCAGTCACACAGTACTAAAGCACACTCAGCAATCTATGCAGCTTTCTGTAGTCACATGTAATCGTTCTTCATTGTAATCAATCACTATCTCTCCCATGTTTTCTGTAATGTATATAGTCTCAGCTTAATTCAGCCCTCCAGCAGTATCAGCAGCAGCAACAGCAGCAGCAGCAGCAACAGCAGCAGCAGCAGCAGCAGCAGCAGCAGCAGCAACAACAACAACAACAACAACAACAGCAACATCAACAACAACATCATCAACAACAACATCAACATCAGCAGCAACATCAACAACAGCAGCAACCCCCTCCACAGCAACTGTACAATGTTCCTCATCAGGTGAAACATAGGAGCATTTTCTTTTCACACTTTATTTTGGGCAGTCCTTTGATAATACTTATCAACGCAAACAAATTATTTGGCTTATCCTAGATATAATGAATGAAATGGGCATTATTTGTGCCGTGATTGCTTCACATGGATTGTGATGCATCAGCAGAATACTTAAATGTTAGGAAAACTAGATCAGGTCAGGTCATACTGCAGTAAACTTATGCCCAAAGCGTTGCTCTTTCTGTGGTTAATATTACCCATCACTCTTTTAAATTGACTCCTGTAATTTATATTATCAATTTTTCCTTATGCTTTAGTGATCCCTGATCCTCATACATTTTGTCTTGAGGCAGATCATGTCAATGTGCTGGGTAATGTGATACGACTGCCCAAGTAGCAGTGTGTGTATACATAGTACTAATTATATATCTTGCTTCCATTAGCAGGATTCATCAGTAAACATGCAACCATGGGCTGTACAGAACTGTTATGAGAGTGTGGCAAATCTATAATGTCAAGTCAACTAAATGTTGACTCTTTGTATTTTCTTTATTTCTTCACAGCTTCCACAGCCTCAACAGGCACTGATCCCTCAGGTAATTTACACATACATTTGCTATATTTATGTTATGCCTAAAAAACAAAAAACCAGTCTAGGCTTGCAATTGGGATTTAATGACTGCAGTGTTTCCCACAGATCTGAAATATACTTGGGGGGGTGGTGGCAACGGGGGGGGATTTTTATTTTGGAGTTAAATGCATCAATCTGGTGCACTTTGAGGGGCAAATAAAGAGACTAGATCTATGGGAACACCTATATGAAACAGAACTGTATACATTTCAATAATCATAAAATCATGGCCATAACCAATAACATACCATTTCCAATATGAAAAAACACTGAAACTTGTTTATTTATTTATCTTTGGTTCATTTATAGTTGTGAGTGTGTCTGGGCTCCTGAATCAGCCTCACCTGTCTCCTTCCTCTCCCCCCTGCTCCTCTTTGAGGCAGCAGCAAAGACTAGTTTTAGCTCTCAACAAGTTGTAAAAGTGTATCTTACCTTTTTTCACCTACTTAACTTTTTTATTTTTTATTCATGCATATTTTACTAATCACTACCCCCTCAAATGGAAATATGTGTTTACATAAATGGTGACCAAACCGTTTGAGACCCACTGAGAACTTAGACTAAGTTAACTATCTAAACACTCAGAGAGTCCTTAACCTCACCTGAGCTGAGGTTATCCCGAGCTTGAATGACACACAGAGACCAATCAAGGGCTTTGATTTATGATCTGTATGACAGTGCAGTGGCCATGTCGGCAGGCCACATCATGTAGACAGCCAGTCACCCTGTGTGAGGCAGGCCACTTAACAGGCCTGGCCATCGGGAAACCCCCCGGTCCTCCCGATGGCCAGTCCGGGACTGGGTACAGGAGGCGTAGAGCGAGGGATCATTGTCCACAAGTAAATCCCCTAACATTAAGTCCCCAAATAAATCCTCCTTAATTGATCTCATTTTAACTAATGTTCCCCATAAATACTCATCTGTGGGAGTATTTGCAAATGATCTGAGTGATCACTGTGTTGTAGCCACAATTAGGGACACAAAAGTCCAAAAGGTTAAACCTCGCATTATCAGTAAGAGAGACAAAAAACATTTTGTGGAGCAGGGTTTTGTACATGATCTGTTTGATTTTGATTGGGGTAAAATCGATCTGTGTGATGATGTAGAAACTGCATGGTCTTATTTTTATCTTGGTTTTATGGAAATTATAGATAGACATGCACCCCTGCGTACATTTAGAGTGAAGGGACGAGACAATCCTTGGTTTTCTGCTGAATTATCTAGTCTCCTACATGAGAGAAACAAGGCCTGGGCAAAGGCTAGGAAATCAGGCTTAGAGTTAGAATGGCTACGCTTTAGGCAGCTAAGAAATAGCTTCACATCACAAATAAAAAGTGCTAAGTCTAAGTATTATCTGTCAGTTACCACAAAGAACCTGAATAATCCTGGAAAATGTTGGAAAGCCATAAAATCGATATCCACCAGTGACATCCGTAATGAGCTACCTCCGTGCATTACCACAGCATCTGGCACTATATCGGACAGGGCCACTATGTTAAATTGTTTTAATGAGCATTTTATGTCCTGTGGCTCTCCGTTTGATTCTGTCACTAACTCTGCTTCTGTGAACACCACAGTCTGTGACTCTGAAAAACGTGTTTTGGAAAACCCTTTTAGTTTTACTCATTTTACTGTTGATGTTGTTCGTGAAGCTTTAACCAAGTTAGGACCGGCTGGCCCAGACAACGTAGAACCTTTCTTTTTAAAGATAGCTGCAGATTTTATTGCTCCACCTCTTACTTCTCTTTTTAACCTCTCCCTCAGCACAAACACAATTCCAAAATTGTGGAAGTCAGTGTATGTCCTGCCTCTACTAAAAGGTGGGGAGGCCACTTTATTAAATAATTATAGGCCCATCTCTAAATTATCAGTTCTGGCTAAGGTTCTTGAACGCCTAGTGAGTGAACAGGTAAAGGTGTTTTTATGTACAAATGACATCCTGTCTAAACATCAGTCAGGCTTCAGAAAGCAACATAGCACCATCACTGCCACAATGAAAGTGGTGAATGATGTGGCGAGTATTTGAGATAATAAGCAGAGTTGTGCAGCTCTATTTATTGACCTTTCCAAAGCGTTTGATACCGTCGATCATCGCATCTTAAAGCAGAGGCTACTCAGTATTGGTTTATCCAGCCATGCAGTGGGGTGGTTTGTGAACTACCTCTCTGAAAGG